GTCCGTTCAGGGCGCTACATGGCCACCCGCTGTAAGCAGGCTATCTGGCCTAAGTTGCCACTCGCCTGCCATTGACAGACCTCAGCTCTTCCAGGCACTGACTCCTGCTTGCCCATTTCTTCCCTGCTATTAGCTGTTAAACGCTGGAATTGATGAGGGGACGCATCTGTGCAACTCCACCACGTCCAATACCCCACCATTAGCTGGGAACCCATAGAACTGACAAGCGACGCGTCACCTCACATCTCCTGGAGAGTTTCACCAGGCCTTGGTCGTGGACCATCTTGTAGGAGGGAGCCAGGTAACACTTGCACTAGGTCCATAAGAGTAGGACAAAAAAGGAAAGCGGCCTCTGGCGAGGAGCAAAGACTTATGGGTATAGGGTACTATAGGAGAGGAGAGGGCGGGACTAACCCATATGTATACTGCCATGGAGTCTGTCAGGGAAATAGGTGCCAATAACTGGTGTCAGTGAAATTTTAAAAATGTGTCAGTCTTTTGTGCCAGTGGGATAAAATGTAAGTGCCAGTTGGTGTCAGTTTGACGAAAGAGGTGCCAATCATTGGTGAAACTGGGATAAAATAAATCTCATATCAATGGCATAAGTGGGAGCATTGTCTCTGCTAACCGGAACTGTTGTGACCAATGGGCAGGAGATCACTCCGCCCGATACACAACTGCACAGCATTGCTGCTCTGCCAAATACTAAGTGTTCTGGATGCTGCGGGATGGGGTTGTCTCTGGATTAAAGTGAAATTCCAGTCAAAAAATGAAAGCCTCCCTGTGATTTGTACCTAATAACCCATTCGTTTTCATATTAACCATTAGTCCTCATGCACACTAGATGTTTTTACAGCTGCTAGTTTTGGCTTTTGGTGTTTTTTTCTACAGCAACAAAAAACCCCCAGCATGCTGTCCTATGTGTCCATACACACATAGGCTTTAATCAGCATTTTTTTTGGCAGGGGCGGTTTTTGGTTGTCAAAAACTCCGAGAACTAGTGGGTTTCTAGAGGATGTTTTTCGCTGTAAAAATACTCTAACGCTGGTAAACACAGAAAAACGCAGTAAAATAATAAAAATGTGGCAACCCCGCGTTTTGGGCATTTTTTTAGCAAAAATTTTATTTATTTTTTTGTCTAAAAAAACGAAAATGTGGCTACATGCTAATACAAAAACACTAAAAGCTGCGGAAAAAGTTGTGTTTTTATTGTGACTTTATACAGCTAATGCTACCGGCGTTTTTAAAACTCCCAGTGTGCATGAGTACTTAGTTGTAAATGTTAATGTATGTATCTGTTGATCCAGCCAGTTCACAGTTCTCATCATAAACTCTTGTTCAAGCCCGACTATGCTGTATTGACATTTTTGGAGGATATATATTAAAACTGATGCTGGAATACAGTGTTCATGTATTTTGTGCGACAACTACATCAGTATTCAGTAGAGATATAATCTTCAACCAGTAGATGGCAGTGTTGATAAGTTTGTAGCTGCATCTATGGTGTACTCCTTCTTTTCTCTGAATACAATGTTCCTGTTTCCTTGTTGTGTGAAGCAGAAAAGCAGATATGGACTGTGAATGGTCTGTTCTGTAGGACTATATATATGTGTATGGCCAGCATTTGTTTTAGTACACTATAATTACTGGGTGCTGTGTAATACCAAACTTCACCGCTGGGTGGCAGGATGTAGCGGTACAGTATATATATTTAGCAGTTTTTCTATTAAAATGTTAATATTATTCTGTGTATTAGGCTGGGTTCACACTTGTGCGGTGTGGAACATCACATGTGATTCGCACAGGAACCGCACCGCATTCCCGTGCAAATCACATGCAAATTCTTTGTGGTACAATTTGAGCCATACATTTTGTATGGCTCAAATCGCACTGCATCCGCACCAGAAAGGTGCAGGACCTTTTTTTTGGTCGGCAACTTTTTTTTGGTCGGCACCTATGTGATCCAATTCTGCACATCGCACTGTATTTTGCAAACAGATTCCGGGGTGTTGTTAACATACACACCCGCAGCGGTTTGCATGAACAGGGTGCGATTTTGATGCGGTGCGGAATTCGCAGAGAAATCGGTGCGCATTGCTCACCGCATCAGTGTGAACTCAGGCTTACCCTAGGTTCACACCCAAGCATTTTCCGCAGCGTTTTGCAGAAATGCAGTACAGTCCATTTAACATGATTTCCTATGGGACACGTTCACATCTCCGTGTTTCAACCCGGTGCGTTCCGGGTGCAGAAAAAAAAGTAGAACAGGCTGCATTTTTCTGCACAGATCTGTATTGGAACGCAGTAAAAAACGCATCAAATACGCACCAGAACACACCAAAAAGCACCAAAAACCTACTGGAACGCACATGTCCCTATTTAAATTGAAGAAAAAGGAGAAAATTAACTGGAATGCATAAAAAAACGCACTGGAAAGTGTCAAAAATGCAAAAAAAGTGCCAAAAACATACATGCAAAAATGCATCCGGAACGCATCTGGACTGCATTTCTATAGTGTGAACTGGCCCTCAGGGCCAGTTTACACTATAGAAACGCAGTCCAAATGCGTTTTGTATGTGTTTTTGCATGTGCGTTTTTGGCACGGTTTTGATGCGTTCCAGTGCATTTTTTATGCATTCCAGTTCATTTTTTTCCTCTCTCTTTTTCTTCAATTTAAATAGGGACATGTGCGTTCCAGTGCATTTTTGGTGCATTTTGGTGTGTTTTTTGTGCATTTTACCACATTCCAGTACAGTTCTGTGCAGAAAAAATACAGCCTGTTCTACTTTTTTTTCTCTACCTGTAACGCCCTGCACTGCAGTCACTGATGTGAACTATGACATTGATAACCATATAACCTACTTTCTGTACGTTTTGGATGCAGAAAAAACACAACTGAAGCGCATGGAGTGTGAACGCAAAATGTTTTTTTTTGGTTCTATAGACTTCAATAGGACACTTCACAAAAGCATGTATTGTGTTTTTGCTGCATTTTTTTATGTGTTTTGCGTTTAAAAGCCTAGCAACAAGAAAAATAAAAAAATGGAAATAAAAACGCAAAATGCATAAAAAACGCAAGTGCAAAAATGCAACGCAATGCAGAAATGCCTCAAACGCAACCTGCATAGGTGTGAACCTAGACAGTCTAAGCTCCCACTTATGCGTTTTCCGCTGCATTTTGCGTTTTCAAAAAACGCACAGTAGTCCATTCACACCCCGGTCACATTGATCCTGACTTTGAAATCATGTGACTTCACTGTAAGTCACACGATTTCAAAGTCGGGATGTCATTGCGATTTCAGGTGCGATTTGCAAGACATCTGACACAGATGTCTATGCAAATTGCACCAAAAGTAGTACATGTACTACTTTAGAAAGCGTTGGAGCTCCAACCAAGTCGGACCCGCACTGATATGACCACTTTAATTGCAGACAATAGGGTGCGACTTGGCATACGATTTGCAAGTCGCATAGCATGCAAATCACATGCCAAGTCACACCTAGTGCGACCAGGGTCTTAGCATGATTTCCTATGGGACAAGTTCACATCTCCACGCACCCAGTGCGTTTTTTTTGGAAAGGGTCAGGGACTTTTTTAAATGCAAAACTTTGTGTGTTTGGTTTTATAGATGCTGCAGAAAAGCATGTAGTACATTTTTTATGCGTTTTACGTTTTATTCTGCCAAGTTAGAAAAAAAACACAAAACGCATCAAAAACACGTACAGAACACATAAAACCGCAAGTGCAAAAAAGCACTGCAGAAACAGATCAAATGCAAACAGCATAGGTGTGAACCTAGCCTTAGCATGCTGAACCGCTGGATGGCATCATGTAGCAGTCCAGTGTTTATGTTGAGGAGCCTGTGTTAGTCGGCTCATTGGAGGGCAATGTAATACCATGCTGAACCGCTGGTTGGCATCATGTAGCAGTCCAGTGTTCATGTTGAGGAGCCTGTATTAGTCGGCTGAATGGAGTGCAATGTAATACCATGCTGAACCACTGGGTGACATCATGTAGCAGTCCAGTGTTTATGTTGAGAAGTCTCTTAGCCGCCTATTGATTGGAGTGTGATGTAATACCAAGCTGAACCGCTGAAGCCAGTCCAGTGTTCATGGGAGCCTGTATTAGTCGGCTGAATGGAGTGCATGCTAGCAGTCAGCAGTGTTGTTCATGTTGAGGAGCCTGTATTAGTCGGCTGAATGGAGTGCAATGTAATACCAAGCTGAACCGCTGGGTGGCAGCATGTAGCAGTCCAGTGTTTATGTTGAGGAGCCTGTATTAGTCGGCTGAATGGAGTGCAATGTAATACCAAGCTGAAACGCTGGGTGGCAGCATGTAGCAGTCCAGTGTTCATGTTGAGGAGCCTGTATTAGTCGGCTGAATGGAGTGCAATGTAATACCATGCTGTGCCGCTGGGTGGCAGCATGTAGCAGTCCAGTGTTCATGTTGAGGAGCCTGTATTAGTCGGCTGAATGGAGTGCAATGTAATACCAAGCTGAACCGCTGGGTGGCAGCATGTAGCAGTCCAGTGTTCATGTTGAGGAGCCTGTATTAGTCGGCTGAATGGAGTGCAATGTAATACCAAGCTGAAACGCTGGGTGGCAGCATGTAGCAGTCCAGTGTTCATGTTGAGGAGCCTGTATTAGTCGGCTGAATGGAGTGCAATGTAATACCATGCTGAGCCGCTGGGTGGCAGCATGTAGCAGTCCACTTGATTGATACGTTAGCGTGCTCTTGATTAGAGTGGTATGTCATACCGCGCTGAACCATAGGGTGGCAGCATGTAGCAATGCCAGACAGGAACTGATGACGGGCAAGCAGTTCATCAGTAGCTTCCTGCTGTGGGTGGGGACATTACACAAGCACACGTGATTGCCGGCTCTTCCTGTGTCGTAGGTCGGGGCCAGAACGATTTCTTATTGGTCGGTGAACATTAAGGGAAGTGTTATCTTCTCTGAAGGGAAAGTGTCCTTGACAGTGAAGCGTAGAGAGGAACAACATGGAGCCTCCAGTGATTGAAGGCTTCACCCCCAGCGCCGCCATACAGAGGGAGGGCTTCAGGGGAAAGTTCGTAAGGAAAGTGAAGGAGAATCCTCTTGTACCGATCGGTAAGTGGGGAGTGCAGGGGGGTCCTCCAATCAGCATGCCATTTGTAGTATAAACAGAGAAGACGTGTTATAGCATAGCTCCAACATATACCATTAGCACAGTCTTTGCCACACTGGAGCCTACAGCAGCTGTCAGTACTAGAAAGTATAAAGTAGTTCATGAATTAAATTACCAGCATCCCGTAAAATCATATTTAACCCCTTGCCTACAGGGCACTTTCACCCCCTTCCTGCCCAGGCCAATTTTCAGCTTTCAGCAGTGTCGCACTTTGACAATTGCGCGGTCATGCAACACTGTACCCATATGACATTTTTATCATTATTTTTAGACAGAGCTTTCTTTTGGTGGTATTTAATCACCTCTGGGTTTTTCATTTTTTGCTACACAAACCAAAAACGACTGAAAATTTTGAAAACAACATTTTTTGTTTCTTAGTTTCTATAATATTTTGTAAATAAGTGATTTTTTTTCTCCTTCATTGATGTGCGCTAATGAGGCTGCACTGATAGGTGGAACTGATGAGGAGGCACTGGTAGGTGGCACTGATGGGCATTGACTGGCATCACTGATGGGCACTGAAAGGCAGCACTCATATATGGCACTGATAGGCGGCACTGATTGGAACTGTTAGGCAACACTGACAGGCACTGATTGGCAGCTTTGACTGACGCTGATAGGCGGCTTTGACTGGCACTGATAGGCGGCACTGAAAGACAGCTCAGATGGGCACTGATATGTGGCATTGATGTGTGCTGGTAGGCACTGATATGTAACATTGATGGGCACTGATGGGGCTACACTGATCATCAGGGCACTGATCATCAGTGTTCTGATGATCAATGTACATGTCCCCTCTGAGGAATGCTGATTACTGGCTCTCCTCTCCATCTGTCAGCATGAGGAGAGGACTGCTGATAACCGGCATTTCCTTATTTACATGCAGTCAGCTGTGATTGGACACAGCTGATCACATGACAGAGCCGATGTCATTGACTCTGTCCACTGATCGGTGATCTGCTGTGTCTCAGGGACACAGCGCACCACCAATCGCACACACGCGGTTAGAGTGGGAGGAAGTCATATGTCATCCTCCCAGAACGAGAGAACCGCCGCTCTCCAGTCATTTCATTATATGGCGGGCAGGAGGCGGTTAAAGTCATATGTAAAATCATATTTAACCCCTTGCCTGCCAGGCACTTTTACCCCCTTCTTGCCCAGGCCAATGTTCAGCTTTTCAGCACTGTCACACTTTGAGTGACAATTGTGCGGTTATGCAACACTGTACCCATATGAAATTTTTATCATTTTTTTCACACAAACAGAGCTTTCCTTTGGTATTTAATCATCACTGGGTGTTTTTATTTTTTTGCACTATACACAAAAAAAAAGAGCAAAAAATTTGAAAAAAAATGTTTCTTTGTTTCTATTATAATTTTGCAAAACAGGTAATTTTTCTCCTTCACTAATGTGCGTTGATGAGGCTGCACTGATTGGACACAGCTAATCAAGTGGTAAAAGGCCACCGTGATTGGCCTTTTACCTCATCGTGATCAGCTGCGTCCGTAGGACACACCGATCAAGGACAGCGCTGGGGGGGCGCGGGAGGATGTCATATGACGCCCTCCCAAAACTGGACAACCGCACCGTAGCCGTCTTTGGCTATAGTGCGGTTGTGAAGTGGTTAACGTGGAGTTCCACCCAAAAGTGGAAGCTCTGCTTTTCTGCCTCCTCCCCCTGTAGATGTAGCCACATCTAGATTGCCCATGTTCACCTATGCCACTCTATTTGGCTGCCAGGAGTAAAGTGAAATACCTAGTATTTGGGGCATGGAGAGTATGTGATTCATTTCTGTTCCTCCCATGTGGCAGTGCTGGAGCTTGGAAATTGACTGCTCTGGCCCCAACACTGCTACAGGACGACAGAGGGAGCCCTTAGCCCTGTGTAAGCCCTAAGCTATTATTCTTATACAGGATTTATATAGCGCCAACAGTTTGCGCAGCACTTTACAAAATGAAGGCAGACATTACAGTTACAATACAATTTGGTACAACAGGAAAAACAGGGGCCATGCTCATTAAAGCTTACAATCTAAGAAACTTGACACTTGTAGTTAGGTCCATGTATATATTCAAGCTATAGTTATATAAAAGGTTTTGGGCTGAAAGTGCACACTCTCAGGTTTAATGTGAAGGTATGTACATCCAAATTGGAGGAAGAATTTAGGAATTACAGCTCTTAAAAGTCACACCCCCCCCCCCCCCCCTTTTTCAAAGACCAAAATTGGATAATTGAATATAATCATAAATAAAATGTTAATTTTTAATACTTTGCTGAGAATCCTTTACTGGCAATGATTGCCTGAAGTCTGGAACCCATGGACATTACCAAAACACTGGGTTTCCTCCTTTCTGATGCTTTGCCAGGCTCTAACTGCAGCTGTCTTTAGTTGTTGTTTGTGGGTCTTTCTGCCTTTTAGTTTTGCCTTCAGCAAGTGAAATGCATGCTCAGTTGGGTTGATATCGAGTGATTGACTCGGCCATTGCAGAATATTCCACTTCTTTTCCTTCAAAAGCTCCTGGGTTGATTTTGCAGTGTGTTTTGGATCATTGTTCATCTGTACTGTGAAGCACCGTCCAATCAACTTTGCTGCATTTGGCTGAGTCTGGGCTGACAGTATATCACTAAACACTGCAGAATTCATCCCTTTGCTTCTGGCTTCTGTCACATCATCAATAAACACCAATGACCCAGTGCCACTGGTAGCCATGCATGTCCATGCCATCACACTTCCTCCACCATGTTTTACAGATGACATTGTGTGCTTTGGATCAAGAGCTGTTCCAAGACTTCTCCACGCTTTTTTTCTTCCCATCATTCTGGTACAGATTAATCTTAGTTTCATCCATCCAAAGAATGCTTTTCCAGAATTGGTCTGGCTTTTTTGGATGTTTTTTTGGCAAAGTCTAGTCTGGCTTTTCTATTCAGGCTTATGAATGGTTTGTACCTTGTGGTGAACCCTCTGTATTTGCTCTCGTGAAGTCTTCTCTTGATTGTAGACTTTGACAATGATACGCCCACCTCCTGGATAGTATCCTTCCCTTGTTTGAATGTTTTGAATGGGTTTTTTTTTTACCATAGAGAGGATCCTGCGATCATCCACCACTGTTGTCTTCCTTGGATGTCCATGCCTTTTTATGTTGCTGAGCTCACCAGTGCATTCTTATTTCCTCTGAATATGCTAAACTGTTGATTTGGCCACTCCTAATGTTGCCTCTATCTCTCTTAATTGATGAAGAAATAATGGAATAGCCCACACCTGGCCATGAAACAGCTTTTGATTCAATTGTCCAATTACTTTTGGTCCCTTAAAAAAGGAGGGATGGCTACTCTTAAGAGCTGGAATTCCTAAACCCTTCCTCAAATTTGTATGTACATACCCTCAAATTAAACCTGAGTGTGCACTTTCAGCTCATATCCATTATATAACTATAGTTTTATCATGTTTTGGTAAATACCTGAAAAAAACTAAAATTGTGCCTGTGCCCAAATATATATGGACCTAACTGTACATAGGGCGTCTTCTTTTTACTCCTCTAGGCCAATGGATCAGTAGGGTGAGTGAAGGGAAGGTAAATATAAGCTTCTGCTGGGGCCCACATTAATGTGAACCTTCTGCTGTGCCCTCCATGGGAAAAGCACAGGTTCACTTAACCACTTGCCGTCCAGCCGTTGTATATAAACGGCCAGACGGTGGCAGTCCAGGGGCGGGTTGCCGCTCATAAACGGAACCCGCCATTATGGACTGCGCGCGCTTCCTGGGAGCGCGCAGTAACCGTGATCTGGTGACCGCTGTGTCCTCTGGACACAGTGGAACACCGATCGTCGTATGGGACCTCTGTACGAGGTCCCAATCATGTGATCACTGATTGGCCGATCAGTGATCACATGCTGAGTAGTAAGCAAAATGTCACTTCTGACATCATTGCTTACTACGTGTGAAATCAGTGAATGATCACAGAGGTCACATGGTACAAGGCTATTCACAACAGCCTTGTACTATGTGACAAGCTGTGACCAATCACAGCTCACACAGTAGTTCTCAATGGCTGCAAGAATGCAGCCAGAGAGAAGGAGAAATGATTGCTTTTACAGCCTTTATGAGTGTAAAAGCTTCCAGTGTAAAAAAAAAAAAAAAAAATTTCATCACCCCCCCACAAGTTATACAGTGTCACCATGAAGACACTGTACTGCTAGGGTGACAGTATGGAGAAAAAAAAACCCATTAATAATATATTAAAAAAAATGTAAAAATTATAATTTTTGGTTATAAACTAATTTGGGTTATTTATTAATTTTTTACTAAAAAGATAACCGAATAAATTTTGGCCAAGATTTATGATGAAATATTATTTATTTGCAAAAATTTTTTAAGAAAAACAATTTTTGTACATTTTTGGACTTTTTAATTTATATAGCAAAAAAATAAAAATCCCAGTGGTGAATAAATACCACCAAAATAAAGCGTTATCTGTCTCAAATGAATGCTAAAAAATTCATATGGGTACAGTGTTGCATGACCGCGCAATTGTCATTCAAAGTGTGATAGCACTGAAAGCTGAAAATTGGCCTGGACAGGATGGGGGTGAATGTGTCTGGACTGGAAGTGGTTAAAACCAGACATCATGATGGTGATGTCACTACATTTTTTTTTTTTTTTTTCTTTTTGCAGTGCTGCTACATTGGTTACACTACTTAGATAGGGCAGGTACTCAAAATGTCCCATCAGGTATCCTATCCTGTATGTGTATATTTCGAAACAGGCAAGATGGTGCTAAGATGAGGTAGGTGTTACTTGTATGGTAAACACTTGGAAATTTTTTTTTTTCAAAGGATTACTCTGGAATAGTAGTAATAATAAAACATAAAAGCACTTTCTGCTTTTTTGTCCCTTTCGTATTCCAATTCATAAACCAGTCCTAATTACTGGTAAGCGTGGTCTCCAAACTGTGCAGGTCGGATGCTTGTCTCTAATCACCCTTTGGGGCACTATTCTTCCCAACCACTTTTACAGGTTGATTAACACGCAGGAACAGGGAAATCTTCCAGATATAACACTTGCTGTCATGACAGTTATTTAACAAGGGCTTTTCACTAGAGATCTTTTTTAGCCATAACCTGGTTTGTTCAAAAATGAAAAAAAAAGGTTGGTTTTAGATATACCGTATTTTGGTTCCATAAGACGCACCTGACCATAAGACGCACCTAGATTTTAGAGGCAGAAAACAGGAAAAAAAATATTTCTGAACCAATGGACTGTAGACATAGTACAGGAGATGACCAGAGACTGCAGACATAGTACAGGAGATGACCAGAGACTGCGGACACAGTACAGAAGATGACCAGAGACTGCGGACACAGTACAGGAGATACAGAGACTGCGGACACAGTACAGGAGATGACCAGAGACTGCGGACACAGTACAGGAGATGACCAGAGACTGCGGACACAGTACAGGAGATGACCAGAGACTGCGGACACAGTACAGGAGATGACCAGAGACTGCGGACACAGTACAGGAGATGACCAGAGACTGCGGACACAGTACAGGAGATGACCAGAGACTGCGGACACAGTACAGGAGATGACCAGAGACTGCGGACACAGTACAGGAGATGACCAGAGACTGCGGACACAGTACAGGAGATTACCAGAGACTGCGGACACAGTACAGGAGATGACCAGAGACTGCGGACACAGTACAGGAGATGACCAGAGACTGCGGACACAGTACAGGAGATGACCAGAGACTGCGGACACAGTACAGGAGATGACCAGAGATTGCGGACACAGTACAGGGGATGGCCAGAGACTGCGGACACAGGAGATACAGAGGCGGACGTACTACAGGAGATGACCAGAGCGGACACAGTACAGGAGATGACGAGATTGCACAGTACAGGAGATGACCAGAGACTGCGGACACAGTACAGGAGATGACCAGAGACTGCGGACACAGTACAGGAGATGACCAGAGACTGCGGACACAGTACAGGAGATTGACCAGAGACTGCGGACATACTACAGGAGATGACCAGAGACATACTACAGGAGATGACCAGAGACGCGGACACAGTACAGGAGGTGACTGCTGACCTTTTGGGAGGGGGGGGAGCGGGTACCTGAATTTGACAGGTACCCGCTCTTACTTCCACGGAGTTGTTCTTTGGTTAGTGTCGGCTCTGCAGCGGGGACCTTACCTGTTCCTCTATCCAGCGGCGCGCTGGCTTCCTGGCTTCTGTAGTGTGGGCGCTCGGCTTGACAGCCGGGTGCCCAGTGCGCATGAGCGAGAAGCGCTGCGCTTTGTGATTGGTCCGGTGGCTTCTGGGACCTGTCATGTGTCCCAGGTGCCGCCTTACCATTCACAAAGCGCACCGCTTCTTGCTCATGCGCACTTGGCATCTGGCTGTCAAGCGGCCGGCCCGGTATTCTGACGCGGCAGTGGAAATACCGGACCGGCCGCTCCATAATTCGCTCCATAAGACGCACTGACAGTTCCCCCCCCACCCCCCTTTTTTGGGGGGAAAAAAAGTGCATCTTATCGAGCGAAAAATACGGTACTTTAATGGTTTTTCGTAGCCGTAATAATGTAAAGTGTGAATTTAAAAGCTCAATCGAATTTTCACTTTAAACCTGCTAAATGCATTCCTGGTGGTTCAAAACAAAAGGTGCTCAATGTCATACAGTTTTTTTTTTTTTTTTTTTTTTTTTTTTTTTTTCTAAAACCACTACAGTCTGAGTAGAAGAGTTTATCCTCTGATAGCAGCTGCAGGGCAGGTCCTCACTGTCAGAATACCATAGCTCCACAGGAGGGATTCCCCCATCCATCTCGAATGTGTGGATGGAAGAGTTGATTCACTAACAATAAGCCATATATGATTCATTTTCTGTCATACCTGGCTTGTGATCTCCTCCAGCACTGCGCTGTTAGCTCTCTCATTGGTCACAGGCACTGCGATCCTCTCCTGGTCTCTCTGGGTCTGACTCATGTGCACAGGAATCACATCATCACAGCACAGTAATATACAACCATAAATGCATGCACAGCTCCATATACACAAATGCTGATAGGCAGAGAGAAGGGTTTATAACAGAAAAGGTCAATAGGGTCTTTTTTTTCTAATAAAGTTCCTACTTTTTTAATTCAGTTTAATTCCACTTTAATGTTGTTAATGTTTCAGCAGGTACAGCAATTTCAAATTGTGCATTTAGTGATCTAATTTGAGTTGACCCTTACCGATAATTTTCCTTTGCTGTCTTCACAGGCTGTCTCGCCACTGCCGCTGCTTTGACATTCGGGCTTATTAGTTTCAGGCAGGGGAAATCCCACCAGTCCCAGCTTATGATGCGCACACGTATTGGTGCACAAGGATTCACAGTCGTAGCCCTTATCTTTGGAATCTTTATGACTGCTGCAAAATCCCCATCTCCTCCTAAGTAAAGTCCTGAAATGGTACTTTGGCACATCCCAAGTAATCAAGGACCTTATGGGAGCAAGCTGAAGCCTATGGAACAGAGTTGGACTTTTTCTAAAAACGGGTTATGGGATAGATGTTTGTGATCCTAATAAATATCTACACTAAGTATACCTGAATCTTCATTGTAATGGCTACATGTATTAATGGCCAACAACTATACAACTATTATACAACTACTACTGAGCAAGAGAGCCAACTTCTGCATAACCTTTCATATCTTATTTCCCGAGCCAAAGTTGAGACTGTGGTATATATGTTGTTGCCTTTTCCCATTCAGCTTTGCCAATGGTTGGTGGTTTAAATCCTATGTTTGTTACAATTCCACCATCATGGTAGTAAGTTGTTACATGTGGAGGTCCTAGTAACATCTTTATTCTTTCATGCTGAAGAAAAGGTTTCCGGACTGCTTATTTGGGTGTGTGGGAATCCTGCATGCAGGGCTTTATTGTTCATAAGGGTGTATAAAGGACTTGGGTGCTTCCAATGTGGAGTGTACTATGGTGCAATTTATCCCTCAGTGATACCCTTTGTATTGGTTTACAGGTTGTTTTCTCGCAGAGGGGGATTTTTAAGTCTTTCATCACTGGTCTTGCTGTTTAGTAAGCATATTTTATCACTTATCTTTTTGTAAATAAAACCCAAAATCTACCATGTGCTTTTTTTTTTTTTTCCTTTTTGAATATAAGGAAACTTTAGCTTATTTATGTATTAAAACTTTAGGGAGTTGTCTGGTCCTTTGTTGCAATAGGTCATTGAACCAATTATAGTTTCTGTAATGCAGGGCTTGACAAATCCCAGGCACCAGTTCGCAATGGCGACTAAAAACCGCGTCCTGGTGCCTGGGCCCCCATCAGCCCACACTCCTCTGTTGTCCTCCACTCCACATCCTTTGCCTGTGCCTCTTCCCCGCCTCACAGAGTGGATCTCAGCATTCTGGGGCCCCCAGAGTCTCCCCCCATCCCCCTGAGTCCAGGCGGAACACATAGCTGCACAACTCCACAAAAGCCGGCCCCTTGGACAACACCGCAGAGCCCATGGAGCGGAGGATGCGGTCTCCCAAGCCACCGTCCCATCCACACCACGGAGCCCATCAATGCCTTCAGCTGTGGTGGTGCTCCCTACCAGAGGACCGGAGTCACCAGGGCCACCAAGTCCTACCACCTGTGCAATAGCTGGCAACCCCACTTCCAGCACGGCGCCGACTCCTCCCCCCAACAGACCACAACAACCAGGCGGATATATGGAGGAGCCACTGCTGGATAAGTGAGAGCTGTCCTGCTGCTCCCCATCTGCCCTGCTGCTGCCACCCTCCACCTGTCCCGCTACCCCCAACCTGTCCCACTGCCCCTCATCTGTCTCACTGCCCCCTCTTGTGACACTGCTTCCCACCTGTGATGCTGCCCCCACTGCTCCCCCCCTCCTATGATGCTGTCCTCCCGCTGCTCCCCACTTGTCCCCTCCCATGATTATTCCCCCTCCTGTTCCATTGCCACCCTCATGTCCCGCTGCCCCCCCCCCCCAGTTTTGCTTCCCTGTCCCGCTGCCTTCCTTCTGTGACACTGGCCCTCTCCTATCCCGCTGCTCCCCTCATCCTGCTGCTGCCTCCCCTCCTGCCCCTCCACCTGGCTCCTAACTTTTTTAGCTGGCTCCTAGATTCAAGCTAATTTGTCAAGCTCTGCTGTAATGGCATTCTTTTCTGGTTAAGTCATCTACTCCCCACACCTGTCCTGCTGCCCCCAATCTGTCCCACTGCCTTCCATCTGTCTTGCTGCCCCCCTCCTGTGACACTGTCCTCCACCTATCCCACTGCCCCCCTCGTGTGACACTGCCCCCCACCTGTCTTGCTGTGCCCCCTCCTGTGACACTGCTTCCCATCTGTGATACTGCTCCCCACCTGTCCCACTGCTCTCCTCCTTTGATGCTGCCCCCCTCCTGTGATGCCCCCCACCTGTCCCAATGCCACCCCCCATGATAATTCCCCCTCCTGTCCTGCTGGCCCCCACTGGTCTTGCTGTTCCCCCCCCCCCCTCCTGTGATGCTGCCCCCCCTGTCCTGCTACCTTCCTTCTGTGACACTACCCCCCTCCTATGTCGCTGCCCCCTCCTGTCCCGCTGCTCTCCTCATCCTGCTGCCCCCCCTCCTATGATGCTGCCCCTCCATGTGTCTTCCTGCCCCTCCACCTGTCACACTGCAACCCAACTGGCTCCTAATTTTTTTAGCTTTCTTCTAGATTCAAAGCAAATTTATCAACCTCTGCTGTAATGGCTTTATTTTTTGGTTAAGTCATCTACTTCCCCTGCAACTCCCCACCTGTCCTGCTGTTGCCTTCCACCTGTCCTGCTGCCCCCAACCTGTCCCACTGCCCCCCATCTGTCTCGCTGCCCCCCCTCCCCGTGACACTGTCCTCCACCTATCCCGCTGCTTCCCCACCTGTGACACTGCTTCCACCTGTGGTACTGCTCCCCACCTGTCCCACTGCTCCCTTCCTGTGATGCTGCCCCCCACCTATCCCACTGTCCCGTCCTGTTACTCCCCCCCTCCTATGATGCTGCCTCCCACCTCCCCCCCCCCCCCCCCCCCCCCCCCCTCCTGACAAACCCCCCCTCCTGTCTCGCTGGCCCCTGCCGGTCTTGCTGCCTCTGTGACGCTGCCTCCCCCATACCATTGCCTTCCTTCTGTGATACTTCCCGCTTCTCCTCTCATCCTGCTGCCCCCCTCCACTTGTCACGCTGCCCCCCACCTCACTCCTAGATTCAAAGCAAATTTGTAATGGCTTTCTTTTCTGGTGAAGTCATCTACTTACATGCTCTACAAGACATCAGGTTGACCTGTATTCATATCCATGACTGGTCTTCACATGGCATTTAATACAGCATCAGGCACAGTGTTGCTAATGAGATTTTAAACAGAGGTGATTGCTTGTGGTTACAGTATGTCAGAGATGCATAGCTAGACCAAGGATTATGGTTGCCAAAGACTGGTGAAAATGTAATAACTTTTCAGTTAAGATGAGAATTCACCCTATAATGAACATTAAACGGTTATATAACACATGGACATTGTCCGATGCATTGCACCATATTTAACTTTTGTCCATACTCCAGTTGTCCAGCAATCAGCACTGGAAACTGCCGGCCATTTACCAGCAACATCATACAACTTACAATGTTGTCAGACCACCCATACAATCTGTGTCATATGATTGCAAAGCCTGACTGGGAAACTGATACTATGAGTTGCCTGATATTGCTGATGGTGATATTACAGTGCCTTGAAAAAGTATTCATCTCCCTTGAAATTTTCCACATTTGGTCATGTTACAGCCAAAAACATAAATGTATTTTATTGGGATTTTATGTGATAGACCAACACAAAGTGGCACATAATTGTGAACTGGAAGGAAAATGATAAATGGTTTACAACATTTTTTACAAATATCTGAAAAGTGTGGTGTGCATTTGTATTCAGCCCCCCTGAGTCAATACTTTGTAGAACCACCTTTCGCTGCAATTACAGCTGCAAGCCTTTTTGGGGATGTCTCTACCAGCTTTGCACAGCTAGAGAGTCAAAGTTTTGCCCATTCTTCTTTGCAAAATAGCTCAAGATCTGTCAGATTGGATGGAGAGTGCCTGCGAACAGCAATTTTCAAGACTTGCCACAGATTCTCAATTGGATTCACCGTATCTCAAAGAAGTGAGTACACCCTTCACATTTTAGTAAATATTTTATTCTATCTTTTCATGTGACAATACTGAAGAAATTACACTTTGCTACAATGTAAAGTAGTGAGTGTTTTGGTTGCCCTTCTCTGTACTTTCTCCAGTTCCCCAATGTTCTTTTTGTGAATTGGTGCCCAAAACTGAACTGCATATTCCAGATGAGGTCTTACTAATGATTTGTACAGGGGTAATATGATATCTCTCTATCTGGAATCTATACATCTTTTAATACAAGAGAGGATTTTGTTCGCTTTAGAAACTGCAGCTTGGCATTGCATGCCATTATTAATCTTGTGATCTACCACAGCTCCCAGATCCTTCTCCACCAATGATTCCCCCAGTTGTAACCCCACTCCCCCCCCAATATGTATGATGCATGCATATTCTTAGCCCCCAAGTGTATAACCTTACATTCATCACCATTAAACCTCATTTACCACATAGTTGCCCAATTAAACAGTACATTGAGGTTGGCTTGTAAATTGGAGATATCCTGTAAGGATGTTATTCCACTGCACAGCTTGGTGTCATGTGCAAAGACTGAAATGGGATTTATAATCCCACACCCTATATTGTTTGTAAATGTATTAAACAGGAAGGGTCCCAACACTGAACCTTGGGGTATGTTTTACGTTTTTGGTTGTAACATGACAAAATGTGGAAAATTTCAAGGGGTATGAATACTTTTTCAAGGCACTGTAAAAATCATTCAGAACAGGACTGTACGTCAAGGAGACAGCAATGCCAATGAGAACTGACAAGATCTGAGTCCCATAGTCGACAGAAACAACTTTAGTTATTCAAGGGCCTCTGTCAGGCGGAGCGAGGACGTTGCCATTGTGAGTCGGGTGAGTTGAAAGGTAGCTCATTAATTGCAGGTTTCAGGTAGTTCCAAAGTCCCCAGGCAATTGGGTAAGTAACCCAAGTTTCAGAAACAGATGATTTACCTTTGTGGAAATCTTGGTGTTGAAAAGGGAAACCCCATTGATATTTGATGTTTTTAGAATGTAACACCTCAGTTATGGGTCTGATATGCATGTTCAGCGTTTTGATGAGAGGTCAAGAAGGAACCTGATGGGGGTTTCATTAAATAAGATAGAGTTCTGGGTTTTCGTCACTTGAAGTATCTTGTCTTTAATTTTTTAAAAAATAAATTCTACAAATAACATTCCTGGGTAAGAAGGGGTCTGGGATTTGGGGACCTAGTGCTCTATGTATACGATCAATCTCAATGGAGGTATTTG